AACTTCATATATATTAGCTTAATGTTATTAAACTCATATTTCAAAACTTATCTTGGTTACACAGAGATATATAATGCACACCTACACATCCTTAAGGATTCTGTCAGATGGTGATAAAGATTTACATTCATACAATTTCTATCCCTAATACTAACATACCCAAAATGAGCATTCCATATTTGTATATTGACCCTTAAACATGTCCATATATTGCAGCTCATGTTAGCCCATTTAAAGCTTTGTTTATGTGTATGTAAACCCCTACATTAATGTTTTGTATTCTGAAAATTTCACTAGCCCAGCACCAGTCAGTTAATTGCTCTAATTATTATTCACACATTAGCGCCTATTAGTCAGCATGGGTTTCTTTCTATTTTTTTCCCCAGACGTTTTAGCCAGCATTCAGATTTCACTTACTTGGCAGAAGAAACTTATTATAGTGGTTTTCAAAATCTGGCAGTAAGCCTAAGAAGTGATTTCTTTTGTTGTCCGAATTTCCTATTCCCATCGTTACAGATCTAGACAGACAATCTGTTAGATTCATTGAAACTTTAGAAGGGAAAATGAGGAAGCAGTCTCCAATTTCTATTGTCAAAGCAATAAAGAACAATCTTCTAGAAAATTGGGGTTCCATTTTGTTATTTTAATTTTATTAGTACATTTTAAATATACATAATGATAGCATTCATCACAGGGAATTTGTATCTATACATGATATATATTGCTTCTTCATTTTATTTGATATGAAATTACTGATAGAAATTTCATTCATTTTTAAACCACCATAGATTTTGTTTTAGTCAGCATTATTTCATAGAATTCTTAGAAAAGAAACATTTAAGCATATGCAAGAGCATGACCTACCTAAATCGAATGCTAATTATAACATATATTAAAGCAGAATATTGAATGAAGGTGGTTATAACTGAGATTGAGATTATTCTTATTTTAAGAATTTGGACACACATGGTAATAAAAAAATTGAAGTTGATGTCAAATATTACTTGTAGTTTGCTGGGGATAGTAGTTGCTATTTACCAAAGAATACTGGAGGGCAATCTTTTATTCTAAATCCCTATACACTTAAAAATAACTCCTTTTATGGAGTGAACTTCTAAAAAAGAAACAATTGGAACTACACACAACAAAATTAGTAATACAAACTACCACATTCTCCCCTGCTCTTAGGGTGGCTTACACTGGATCTCACAGATCTTCAACAATGAAGGGGACCTTAAGGAAAAGGCAGTAGAGGAGAGATTGAAGATTCACAAAGAGGAGGAAATAATTTCTTTCTCTGACAGTTTTCTCCTTCAATTAGTTCCTTGCCCCTTAGTGAAGGTCAAAGTCCGACTCTAGGTCTCTACTGATTGATTAAACTGACTTTGGGTTGAATTCTTTGGTTTATCCATGTAAAATAAAATACTGTTTCTCTGTTCAAAACAGTCCAGTTTCTGCAATCCTTGTTCTAAGCAGAATTCCTGGAATATTTTAAATGTAAAAATCTCTGAACTCTTCTGGAGTCTGGGGAGAACAGTGGAAACTTTAGAAACTTCAAGTAGTAACTGCAGTTAGGTCATCACTACAGTGCTGGGAAGTGAAACTAAACAAGCTAGGCACAGTGATGGTGAATCTTTCAGAGCTTTCAGTGATGACAGTCAGCTGGGGCATGCATGACATAAGTTTGGCACCACTGACCCAGGAGCTAAATGCAAAATCAAGGAAGACAAGGCCCAGGAAGCACTTAGAAGACTAAGGAACCAGTAAATGGTAACTTGAAATAAACAATCAACTGGGCATATTAGTCAGGATTCTTCAGAGAATCAGGAAATAGATAACAGAAATGGATGGATAAATAGGTAGATGGATAGTCAGACAGATGAGAGATGATAGATAGATAGATGATAGATAGATATTGGAAAGGCTCATTCAATTATGAAAGCCAAGAAGTCACATGAGCAACTGCTTGCAAACTGGAAAAGCAGAAAAGCTTTTGAAGTAATTCGTTGTGAATCTGAGAAGTAGGAGGCTGATAGTATAAGAACTGGGCTGACTCTGAAGACCTGAAGCTATTTATGATCATAAAACACTGTAGATACAAAAAGACACTGGGGAGGTGTGAGAGGTTATCAAAGTCACTTAATAAAGCTCTTCTTGATACTTCATGTCTGGATAGACATTTGTCCCGCACTGCAATTCATGGAACTTAGCTTGGTCTTTCCTAAGATCTCTGGTGATCTATTTGTTTGTTTTCCCTTTCCTCATACATTTTCAGTCCCATAAGTCCAGAATATGCATTTATTTTGTGCTAGTGTACTGTTTTACAAAGAACAAGTCCAAAATAAAAAACTGAAATTAACTGAAATATAAACGAACTGAATGATAAATATTTACACATGTCTAGGGTTGTGTTTCATTTCATGTGGTGCTTGTCAGACTTGTCTTTAGCTATTTAATTCAATTGCTTGGGGTGTGGTGAAAAAGATGTGAGGTCACAAGTTCAGTCCTTGTGAGAACAGCTTGCTGATCTCTATTTTATGGCCACAGAGTCCATTGGCCAGCTGTCTCAAAAATGCATGACATTGGCCACCAGAGGATGAGAAAAGATACTGGTGGATCAGAAGAGCCTTATCACCTCTGATAACAAAACAAGGAGGAGTGCTTGACTTATCAATTGTTTTTGTTCTTGGGGGTCCTGTGCTTTCCTTCAGAAATTCTATTTCTAATATTACAATATGATCCTGTTAGAAGTCCAGAAAAGAATGAGCCATAGATAGTACTGGGCAGACAGTGTAAAGAGGAGGGAAATGAGCATTGTGAGCTCAGGACTTTAATCTTGGCTATGCATTCTATAGACTGTATGATTCCTTGGAAGAGTATTTCATCTTTCCAAGGCCCAACTTCATCATTTTGTAAAAACTTAATTAATAGCATTGCTGTGAGAATTAGAGGAGAAAATATTAATGCCAAGAGAAAACATATAATAAATGTTAGCTATCAGTGATAATTTATAGTAGCAAATAAACTTACAGGAAATAGTTGACCACAAATGAGAATAGCAGAGATCTTATAATCAGGGTATCATGGCTGTCAAGGTTCTCAGGATTTATGCAATCCTGAATTCTACTGATAAGGAACTGAAAAATACCAAGTTTAAGTGCATTCTTTGGCAGTACCAGAGCAACACAGCTGAGACTAGAATCTATCTTCATGTCCAATCTCAATGCTCCTTCAAGCTTAGCAGTAGGAGGCAGTCTGAATTCTAAGGAGGAATATAATATTTAGAACACTTTACTGAGGTGTTTGCCAAATGTGAAAAAAATAACATTTTGGTTACTCAATTAAAACAATATTTATTGAGTGCCATTGTATGCCCAACACTCTCCTATATATTGGAATATTTGGGACATGTCAAGATAAATATAAAGCAGTCCCCATCCTTGTGAGGAAAAATCTCCAGAGAGCTATCACCATGTATACAAATTAATAAAATTCAATGCATAAAGGCCAAGGAAGGGTATATCTAGTAAAAGAGGCCCTATAATTTCTTAGGAGGAGCTGAGGTTTGAGACATACCTTTAAAGAGATTTTATTATGCAATACCAATGCTATCCCAGGCTGCCTATTCTTCTTCCTATATTTTCCCTAAGAAATACTTTCCAAACAATAGTCTGAAAATTTTAGCAGATTTTACCCACTATTTTATTTATATGTATGGTTGCTCTGTGGCCATTCGTTACTAGAATATGGACTTGGGATTCCAACAAAAAGCAAATGGCATTAAACTTACTTAAATGGCTTTTTGACACCTTGAATTACTTGGTAATAGTAAAATTTTCTACTCTGAGGATTTTGCAAGGTTGATATCCAGATGTCTCTGCTCTGCATGTCTGAATAGATTGTCCATGAAAAGCTGTAGATTCTATTTTTCTTCAGTGCTTATACTATTCTCACTCTTCAAAAGGAGGGGAAATTTCCATCCATCTTTACTCATGATGTATGGTTTGCCCCACCGTCTCCTTGGGCTTATTGCCTTGTAGACTTCTGTAGTAATTTGAAATAGGAAAAGGTCCAAAGGTGGAGGGGTGGTGGGAGGGGAAGGGGAAAGGGAAGAAAGGAAAGGAAAAATTATGAGAAAGAAAAAAAAATGGAAACAAAGTCTATGTAAATAAGGAAGGGAGGTGGGGGTGAAGGGTGCATAGGTAATGGGGAAAAAAATAAGAACTAAGATTTCAGGTACAAACACCCAATGATGAATGTAAATGTATTGTATACCTAAAATGTACCAATTAATAAAAAAATAAAAAGAAACCCACATTCAGGAAAAGTAATGCCAGAATTTGTTTGCAGAAACCTATGGTTAGATAATATTTTGGTTGATGGAAGAATAACTTTACTGTTGTCCTAACTTTCAGAAGGATAGAATTATGAATTATTTGTTAATTATTTCCTCAGTGTCATCTTCTGTGTGCTGCTTTCTTGTCATCTTAGGTCATTCTCTTTGTTAATGAGCTTTGATTGATTGGTATATTTATTGACTAAAAGAATTACCTCTTACTCCTTAAAGAGTAGAAAAATTAAAACTACCAAAAATAATTTCATGAATGTCGTAAGTACTCATGTAAAAATTCAGAACACACAAATGTTTATTATATTTTAAGATTATAGTGAACTAATGTAATTTTTAAAAAGAATAAATTTACAAAAATGTTTCAAATTGTATAGATCCTTGAATAAATGAAATTTCCTAAGATAAGATGATGGTGTTAAAAAGATTCCTATTTGGTTTGTTAAAAGTGGGTGGAACAGAAGAGAGCAAAAATGATTTCTTAATATAACCAATAACTGTTTTTTTTGTAACAAGTGGAAATAAATAAGTCTCTCCTAAGGAAAAGGCTATCATCTTTATTTTTTTTTTTTGGCTAAATTGAGCAGGTATCATAGTTTACAGTTTTATATTAGGTTAATGTAAAAGCTGTATTTATTTCACTTACTGTATAATTAGGATTTAAGTCCAAATCCCAGAGAGCATATGACAGGGATTTTCTCAAGGCCACTCTCTGCTCTTCTGAAAAGGCCTTCTTATTTCTTATGTTTCTAAAAATCAGCAAAGTGAGCATAAACAAACAATAGATGGCCTTTATGAGTAAAACATCTGAGCATAAAGAGATTAATCGACCTCTATCAGCCAGTCACTAAATCAAATAGGAGATTTCCATGTACTTTTAAACCTCAGATTTACAGTCAGGCAAATTGTGTAAAAAGGTTGGTAATACAGTGATGCCCAATGCCACTGGGCTTTGGAAAGCTGACAGTTCCTGTAAAATAGTCATTAAACAACCTCCAGAAGAGACTCATCAGCAGATGCCCCCAGGTGAAAGAGACCAAAAGCTGAAAGAATGAAGGAGAATCTAACATTTTAGCATGACTGAATTAAACAGAGCATATTATGCTGATTTTCAGAATCAGCCCAGTAATTTAATTTTCAGAGCAGTTCCTTTGATTGTAGCAACCGTTTTATGAAACATTAATAAAACTTTGTGTGTGTAACACACATCTCTTTTCCATTCCATTAAGAAAAATAAGTCAACGTATTCAAATTTGCTGACTATTAGTTATGTAAATGCCAAAAAATTTTGTTGTTGTCACTATTTTGAAAAAGCAAAAGAGCAGAAGAACATAGCTCCCACTGTATTATTCCATAGTAAGCACAAAACAGGGAAAAGAAAATAAAGTATATAAAGTTATTACATGTTAGTTCTTGGGATTTTACATTAAGACTCTGAGGTAAATCACTACTATAATGTATAAACCAAATGAAATTCTGTACCTTCTGTGTAATAATAATGTCTACTGTGCATCCAAATTAATTGTTGTAGAATACACACTGCCCTATATACTGTTTATCAGACTCCTGTGGCAAATAGATATTTTAAGATCAAGATAAAAAGTGGAAAGTCATTTTCAATGACTTTGTTATACAAGAAGACCCACAGATACGAGCGTTTTAGAGACCTTTAAATAATACAGCAGTGCTTCATTTTTCAGAATATGTATATATTTGAAGTGTGCATCATAAAACTATTTTTGTAAGTTAACTTATGTTTGCTCTTTTATTTCCATCATAAAACTGAAGAATAATTCTCACTGAAGTAATTTTTAGCCCAAAGACAATAATCATATTTAAGAATGAATCAACCCTTTAAAATCAGTGGTACATTTTGTATTCAAATCTAGCAATTATCCTTAGCCTGAGTATTTTTTCCTTATAATTCTCTCTTCTCTTTTCATTACACAATCCTTGTTATTTTACCCAAGGCATTGTTAGATGACTTGTATTCCTCTTCCTTCCCTCTTTTTTAATAAGCATATGTAAATAAATATGCGTATATATATAGACAAATCTAAATGATCTTATGAAGCAATATACAAATAAAAATAAAACTTTTGTTAGTAAATGATAAAAATTATAACCAAAAACTGAGTTATAGCAAGGATATGACAGGTCAAGGAAGCCCTGGAGGACATTAAGGCCCCAGCGATCTTTTTACTGCAGATCCAGCAGGTGACACACTGCACACTGCACTGAGTTACTTGACCTCTATCTGAGACTTGAGCTCTTCATCCCTAAAATGAAAAGCCTACACTAAAGAGTTTTTGAGGTTTCTTTCACAGTAACCCTGCAATTCCAACAAAGGTGTTTTGTTCTATGTAAATGCAGTTAGTACTTTCTATAGTTCTTGATGTATTTATTAGTAATAGTGTCTTTCAACTGTAAGTTACAAATTTGTACCATCTCCTAGAAGGCCTTAGAGCAACTGTTCCCTAGTTGTCCCAGATCCTCTACTGTCATTCTCTCCTTTCCTGGCTCACTTCCACACTTCTAATTGAGAATCTTCCATAGTTATCTCTCAAATTAACTATTTGTACTCAGATTTTTGTCTCTGGATCTTCTTTCAAATAAGCAAAAACTCATTTTACTTATATGATCACTCAGTGTGATGATCCTTGACATTCACCACAACAAAATTATGATTTCTCTTTATAAGTATAAATATTGTGCTATAAATAGCAGAAATAATGTTTCTTTATTCATTAATTTATAGAACAAACTTAAAATAAAAAATAGTGTCTTTAGGGCCAGGGATTTAGCTCAGTGGTTTCGCCACCTGCTGCGCAAGCGCAAGGACCAGAGTTCGATCCCCGCTACCAAAAAAAAAAAAAAAAATAGTGTCTTTGTTAAACTTTTGACACTCTTTCCCAATAGAAAAACGAATATCATTAAAAAGACAGTTTACCAAATAGTGCATATATTTCTAATGGATTTTTCATATATTTGATTTCCAGTTTTTTATGCTTACGTGTTTTTCTTATATTAAATTTTAAAATACCTGTAATTATTTCCATCCTGAGTTCACAATTTGGACTTTGGTATTTATTTCTGTATTTGAGACTCAATATCCAGTTAGTAGGAATTGAATTACAGTTTTCTTAAGTATTATTTTTATTTACAAAAATCTTTAAAAGATTGTCAGAATTAGTTAATTAACTCTTTAAGATTTATATTCTTATAAAATGAATAAACTCTTGGTAATGTGATAATGTATACTTTAGAAATTTGTTATAACATCATCAACTATAAAATACTCATAAGATTAAGCACCAAACATTCAAGACAAGGAGAAAATGAAAGTCAGTTGTTTAAAAGACTTTCATCTGCAAGAGATTTCAGTAAGAGGTTCTTTGATATGTGCTAAGATATGGGTGGTTGAGTATAATTCAATTTTATACAAAGAAAATTCCTTCAAATCTAAAGATAGAACATTTCTATTTCAAGTTACTTTCCACTGAATTATTGAAAAGAATTGAAAGCAATCCAAAATCCTGAATGTACAAAATAAGTCTTCAAACAGTTGAAAAATAACATTCACAAACTCATGGCACTGTGGATGACACCATAATAAGGGCAACTGCTCATCTGGATTAAGGTTAATTCCATGGTATACACTAGAAATACAGTCAATTGGGGCACTGTAAGAAAATCTAGCTGTGGTGGGTGGTCATTTTCTTGTGTTTCTTTTGAAAAAGAAAATAGTGTGGAAGCCCAAATGCAACTTTTAAAGTTTCATGATCCATTGGGCTACACTTTTTTCAAAAGTTTAATCTCCATTGTTAGTCCCATGAAGAACAGACCTGCCCTCTCTATTTTCTTACAGGGCTCCTTTTGATGGAAAACTTTGTGGATGTTTGTGATATTGCTCAGAGCCCATTGGCAGATGAGCATCTCTTGCTGTGGCCTCCATCATTATTTGCCTGTCTTGTCTATTAACGAGCACTATCATCCCATCGTGGGATGACAGCTGCAACACGTACTCAGGCGCAATAAACAGCTAAATGAGGCGCACAGCAATTTCACTTGTCACCAGCGCCCTCGGCACGACTGGCTGCACAGCTTGATGCATAAATTCATGAGGCTGTTGCATATGATGGAGTATGCTTGGCTGAAAGAGGTGATGGATAGCAGGGCAGCTAAAAATGGCCATCACCTTGACTCTGTCAGGACATTTTTTAAAACTACCCCATCAGCTTTCTTGTACTCAATGCACTATCACAGCATAGAAGACTCTAAGGTACTGATTTGGTACTTTTCTTCAACAAAGACTTTTTGGACCTTTTTTTCTAAAAGGAGATTCAATGTATTGAGGTAGGTTACATCTATTCATCATTAACTCTGATGCTCTTAGATTAAATTATGTTTAAGAGTAGAATATATTAATGCATAAAAATCTCAGAAATCAATTTAAGTCCCAATAATGAGGGGAAAACCATTTCTAAATTATACAGTAGAACAAAGAATGGGTTAACATGATATCTGAAGAATTTGAAAATACAGTGCAGAAATATTCAAACACAAAAATTCAAGAGATGAAAAATACACAACTCATTACAACATTGAATAATATTCTGGGACACATCATTATATCAATGTTAGTAATGTATTTCTCATCAGTATACAAAACACAAGCAAAAACTAATACTTATAACAGTGCCTCTATCAAATAAGCACTTTTTTAGGAACCTTAAAAATAATCAATGATTCAATGGATTCCTTCTCAAATATCCCTTTAACTTCTTACTTACTCAGCTGCCCGAACTCAAGCCAGAATTCAAAGCACCACAGGCAGGGCTTTCAGTGTCCCACTGAAACAGGTTGCACATCCTCCATCTATGTTAGTGGAAGTCATCTAAGGAAGACAAATATAAAGGCAACAAAATCAATGAGGCAGTTTCCTGCAAAGCTTTATGCATTAATCTCTATCATACAGAGATATATACACAAACCAGTGCAAGGGAAGGAAGTCACTTGTTCTCGACTAAAAGAGAAAACCCTTGATAATAAGCAATTAATAAAGTTGTCATGATTAGTTATGCAACTATGAATCAACATGCACAGTAAAAATGACCACTTCTATAGATATAGAATATCTGTGATTCAATCATAGTGAAAATAGTCATTAACATGAGTGGTTATGAATGACCCTCATAGATACTTTCCTTCTCTTCCTTTTGCAACAAAGTAGGAACTCCTGATCAAGAGTTATTGTAACAATTTAGACACATACTCTGAACAAGAGAGCAGATCCATAAGTCAGTTACTTTTTTTTTTGTTTTTATCTCCCCATATTCAGTTTCATGTTTCTCAACATCAAATGTCCCAAATTCTCTAAATTTAGCAAAAGCATTTTAAAATAAATCTGGAAGAAAGTTCAATCTATAGGAGTGCATCTTATTAATATGAATCCATGGTGTCTTGTTAAATGATGAAAAGAAATCCCTAAATATATAAGAGGAATCTAATTTTGAAGTGTTTAAAGTAAGGTTTTTAAAAAGGTAATTTTATGGTATAATATCTGGTGATACTCTTGTGATACTTCTCTTAACAGGTGAGCAGCTGGCTAGTCCCAGGACTAAGAAGATCTGATAGAGGTAAGAAGAAACGGACAACAGTCACTTATGGGGATGGGAAGATGGAGAAGAAAAGTGTAAAATGGGGGAGATAAAGGTGATATCCTATCAGTGACTAGAATCAGAGGTCTCTGTGAACTGAGAACTAACCAACAATGTGCATTTTGTACCTGCATTATGTTAAATATTACAAGATTGGAATTCAGGGGAGGTAAATGAGGAACTTGACCCCACTAAAATATTTAGGAGGACACACAAATTTCCTCAAGAGTTAAGATAAATAATATTTTAATGAAATATTTTTACAGTGGAAATTAACATAAAATATTCATGGTTGTATTACTTTACTACAGCATAAAAATTTCTACAAACTTAATTGTTTAAAATAATATCCACTTGACACACCTCTTGTACCCTTCTCAGCTCCTGACCAAAGTACTGTAGTCGGCCATGCTTTATGTCCAGCAGAGAGCCTTCTAGAGGGGTCACCACAGAGTGCTGCTTCATCTCTCTCCTCAGGAGGAACTCACTATAGTTCAGACTTGCCTTGAACTAGCTGTGAAGACCAGGCTAACCTCGATCTCACAGTAATCTTCCTACCTCAGCCTCCTAAGAGAAATTTATGTATCTTTATGTTGCAAAATAGAAACTGGTCAATAAATGAGGAATAGAAGGGGCTTCAGGACTGCCATTCCACCACTCCCAGCCCAAAGGAAGGGGCTTCAGTGCCACTGTTCCACCACTCCCAGTGCAGAGGAGGTGAGCTGCATGGGCACCACAGCAAACCCCCACACCTATACCAGTTGAAATGAGAAGTCACATAAACAAGTGTCAAAACCAGAATTCCACATCACCTAAAGCAGTTCCAAAGGGAAATGATATGGAAAACTCTGATACTAAGCCACCAGGACTCCCAGAACTGGAAACAAAAGAGGATCTGGAAAAAATGAAATTAGAAAAAATTTCTCAGATAACAGCAGAGATTGTGCCCATAGTGCAAGACATGATTAATAAATCTAGAGAGGACACAGATAAAAAAAAAATGAAGAGCTGAGGAACATGATGGAATCCCAAAATAGGAAACAAATGGTATCTATAAAACAGAAACAAACAGATTTCCAGGAGATTAAAAATGCCATTGCAAGTCTACACAGTGGAATGAGCCAAAGTGAGGACAGAATTTCAGATATAGAAGATAAGATTGCAATTAGTGAACAGGAAAAGAAAAACTGCTTCAAAATTGTAAGGGACCATGACAAATCAATCTAGCAGCTGCTAGATGATGCAAAAACTAATAACATAAGACTGATTGGAGTCAGCGAAGAAACAGGAGAGAGTGCAGATGACATAAAAGAACTCTTCACAGAAGTAATGGCAGAAAACTCTCCAAGCAGGGGGAAAGAACTTGACATTCAGATAAGTGAGGCATATAGGACTCCAAATAGACTTGATAAAAAAAAAATCGACACATAGGCATATAATTGTTAAGATTTTAAAAACCCAACAGAAGAACACAGTTCTACAAGCAGTTAGAGAAAAGAAAATCACATACAAAGGAAAACCCATCAGAATCACAGCAGACTTCACAATGTAAACCCTTAAGGCAAGAAGAGCTTGGAGTGAC